CAGGAAAGCAAAATAGGAAATATAGAAAAGATATACATAATGTTTTTTGTGAATTTTAAAAAGACGTATGATAGTGTACATAGAAACAGTTTATGGAATACTATGAAGGACTTTGGAATACCAAAGAAGTTAATTCACATGACCAAACCTTGTATGGAAGACACCTGTAATATAGTACTATATATAAAGGCAGAAAGTCAGACCCTTTTCAAATAACAACTGGTTTAAAGCAAGGTGAGGCTCTGTCCCCACTTCTGTTCAACTTGGCCCTGGAGAAAATTAAAAAGAAATTGAAACAAGAGTGTACTATAGGAGAAATTACAAGAATACTTGGATATGCTGATGACTTTGATATCGTTGGATAAAATGAACCAGAGACTGTTAAAACACTGACTCTCTTAAAATAATCAGCTCAGAAAATGGGACTAGTTATCAATCAAGATAAGACAGAATAAATGATAATAAATAGACAGGGAAAGGATATAAACTCGGACTACATACAAGTCGATAACATGAAAATCAAATAAAAGGAAACATATAAGTACTTGGGTGCAAACTTCAACTCCTCCAACATGCTAAAAGAAGAAATACAATCTAGAATACAATCTGGAAATAAAGTATACTATGTCCTTCAACATCTGCTAAAGTCAAAGTGTCTGTCACGCAACAACAAAATCAAAATATACAAAACGTTGATGAGACCAGTCTTATTGTATTTGGCTCTAAAACTTGCAACACAACTAAAAGAAATGAAACCTTATTACATGTTTTCAAAAACAGTTTTATGATGAATCTTTGGACCCATCAAAGATGCCACAATCTGGCAATCTTCAACAGCTTGTATCACCTCCTGTGCTGACACTTGTCCATGCTATGACAAAAGGCTGCCAAGAATTGTCTTGCACTGTCTTCCTCTCTCATTTCCCACAAATCTTTCCAATGGTTGCAACATGTTCCACCTTCCTTCCTTCTCAAAACATCAAACCCCCCCCCCCCCCCCCCCCCCCCCCAAATGATAACAACATCTCTGACTTCCTATTATTGAAGCTGAGGCCTATTTTATCACCCTCTAACACTACCAGATCTGTCAATCTACATAGTTCTTTTTGACTTGTCACTATCAAGATGGTACCATCATCTTAATGTAGGTTATTTATGTTAGGACCACCACCCACAATTCCTGGTAAATTCTTCACAAATCTGATGATATATTGACTGTACAATGACAACAAATCAGTTGTTGGTAAATATCCTGGTCGCATGTGTTAGCGTCAGCGATTCATCATTATCTGCCAGCCTAGTCTGTGCAGCGCTGATGATTTCAGCTCTGTTCATGCATTTTCCAGTATCTGTTGATGCATTACTTGCAGTGAATCAAGACGTGAAGAAAAGATGTGGGGCTTGTATTGAATCCACACTGAGGAATCCTCTAAGAACAATAGTGGTAGTAACAAATTTTACCACAACAGGACATCAAACAGAGCGATAAACACCCGGTGACACAAGTTGCCACCATGCGGGTAAGGATACCCTAGGAGATGTCCCGGAAACCCCGTTCAACCGTTAAGTTATATTGTGGCCTCTGGCAATAGCCAGGGTAAGGCTTCAAAAGAACAATAATTTGCATCCCACAAGGAGGATGACAGAGTCATTGTGAAGTACTGAGAACATACAACTAGAAAAACAGATGAAGAAGAGATCTAGAAAGTGAAGTTTAAAAGATGGGAATGACATGGGTGAGCTGCAGGTAATAGCAAAAGATGACTTTGTGTGAGATAGTTGACAGCCTATGATCCATTTGTGGATAAAGAGGAGAAAACTGGTGTTTATATGAAGATAATGCCAAGATCAAAGTAATAGATGTCCACATATCTGAAGCAACAATTAAAATTAGGGCAGGTTTGCTCCTGTTAAAAGTAGACTGTATAAAGAAAACATCTGAGTAGATGGAACACCAGTCACAAGTTTTTTTCTTTCTACTGCCCCAAATCAGCATTAAAATGACAGTGGATCAGAAAAGATGAGCCTACTACTACTATATAGACAAGGGACCTTACAGATTTCAAGGAATGGACTGCAGTAACAATAGCAAAAGTGTGTACAGTGAAAGACCAATATTCATCATTAATTTGTTTCTACGAAAAAGATGTATACTAAAAATGACAAACATAAAACAAGTTATTCCCATATAAATTAACTAAAAAATAGTTTAATACATTCTGTGCCAAAATTTTGCTGATCTACTCTTTAAAAAAAACAAAAACACAAACAAACAAAAATTTACTCTGAGATCGATCTCAAAAATCACTGCAAGTACATTTTAATTAGTTGTAACCAGCATACTTATTATTGCTGGATCATTATGAGAGAGATTTACTCATCATGATGACTTAAATATACTGTAGGACTATATAAATACACACATCATTTTTTTAAATAGAAATTTACTTTTGGGATTGCTGGTGGGGGTGGGGATAGAGAAGAAGGGGGGAGGGGAAGAGATGGATAGGACTGAAACAGCATGACAGAATCTCAAATGTAGAGCTTAGAAAGAGCTTTATTAAATTCAACAGAGTCAAGAGATAGATTAGTTAGTTAGTTAGTTAGTCTTTTCTCTTGTGTCAAGTGCGGCACATAGGGCAGAGGTCATGACTCTCCATGCATGGCGGTTCGTTGCAATCTGTTGTAGGTCTTGGATGTTTGAGTGGCCCATGAGCGAGCCTTCCCTGATGATAGTTCTACGTAGTTTCCCTTGGTCTTCCACGAGATCTTTTCCCCTGTGGTGTCCAAATAAGGGCTTGGTAAGGAAGTCTTGATTTATCCATTCTAAGGGCGTGGCCGACATAGTTCCAGCGGCGTTTTCGTATAAAATTAGACACATACTCTTGCCTGGATTCTTGCCTTATTTGTGTATTGGTTCGGAAATCTGACCATTTGAAATTTAGTATTCTTCTAAGGCATTTATTTTCAAAATTGTCTAATTTTGTGTCTAGAGTTCTCGTTGATTTCCAGCTCTCGCATCCATAGGTTAGTACTGGAATCACACAAGAATTGAAGATCTTGAGTTATGTGTGTTTGCTAAGTGTCTTTGATTTCCAGATGTTGGACAGTTTATTGAAGGCACTAGATGCCAGTGCTATTCTAAATGGTATTTCTGGTGCGGTATCTCCTGTAGATGACATCTTGCTCCCTAGATAAGTGAAACTGTTGACTTTTTCAAGGCTGTGGTTGTTCAGCGTGATATCAGCTGAACTGTTGGTAAGGTCTAGAATTTTTGTTTTTGCTGTGTTAATTTGGAGTCCAATTTGTTCTGAGAAATTCTGGAGTCGATTGATTTTTTCTTGGGCGTCTGTGTGTTCTGAACTCAGGAGTGCTATGTCGTCGGCGAAGTCTAGGTCTTCCAGAATTTTGTCAACCCATGTAATGCCTAAATTTGCATTATTTATGCACTTGCGCATGACCCAGTCGATTGCTATACCAAAATGCGATAGGACACAGCCTTGCTTCACTCCTGTTTCCACCTGGGAACCAGTCAGAATTGCCGGATTCAGTTCTTACACAGCATCGTGTTTCATTATAAAAAGATTTTATGATGTTGATATATTTGATGGGAAAACCATAGATGTTAAGAAATTTCCAGAGTGTTGGACGATGGATACTGTCGAAGGCTTTTGGAAGTCGACAAAGTTGATCAATAATTTCGACTGGAATTCTGTAAAATCTTCAACAATTAAGAGACAGATAGATGTCACCTTTTACCCCACCAGGACGTCACACAAGCGATAAACACTGGATGTCACAAAGGTGCCACCTTGCGGATGAGGATCACCGCAGAAAGGTCCCAGAAACCGCATTCAGCCATTAGACTATATTAATGGCCGGGCTATATTGCGGCCCCTGGCAAGAGTAGGGCTTCAAATAACGAAAAATTGCATCTCACAAGGGAATGACAAGAGTCAAGATGTAAGTCAAAACATTAGCACTGGATAGCACAAGGACATACAATGAAAAGCATTAACTGAATAACCAGAGTCTTATTTTTTAAACAGACGGGGGGGGGGGGGGGGGGGGACGGGGGGGGGGGGGGGGGGGGGGGGGGGGGGGGGGGGGGTGGGGGGGGGGGGGGGGGGGGGGGGGGGGGGGGGAGGATATAGAATGAGACCTAAAAATACCCGACAAAAAGAATCAGAGATGAATAACATGAGGACATCAAGGCAACTACAAGAGACAGCAAAAAGTTAAGACTGGCTCAAGATAAAGGCAGATGAATAAGAAACAGTGTACATTGTGGTATTTTATACGGACATTACCATAATAAATAAATTTCAGTTGCCAAAGAAAGCCATTTTCCCAGATTTTTACAGATTTCTGCTGACATAAGTCCTAAGGCAATGGCAACTGTGTCTGTACAAACAGCCCTGGTACTGGCTGCAGATCCACAGTGTGATGACATGATGAGTATGACTCCATTTACCTCCTAAAAAAATAACTGGAGACATTATTAGGGTTGGGGGAAAAAAAATTAGTTTTTTAACATTGATTTAATCATAATGTCATAATAACCTCATCATGACATCACTTTGCTCCACGTGGTTGTCTCAGCAAAACTCTGTTTTCATGATCAAAGGGGGAAAAAGCAGTAATATTTTTTATTTGGTTTTTTTATTTTTTTCTCAGTTTGTATTTAGTGATTACTTCATTTAATCTAAGATTCAGCTCAGAATCTCCAATGGGTTGGGGAAGATACAAACAGACAGCCAGTCTCAGGATGACCACAGCTGATGAATATACAGTGCAATTTGCTATTACATGTTAATGCAGTGAACTCAATTTGACCACCAAGCATGACACACCACAGCCAACTATAAACTACTGCTGTAAACATGTTAAGTATAACAATGCTAATGATACTATATAATTAAATTTTCTTATGAAAGTTCACACAAGTATGTTCTAAGGATTACTGCTGCTCATTGTCCTTCTTGCTTGTCTGAAAAATTTCATTCATTTTTGTGTGCTCCAGTGACTGGCATCAGCTGATCTCTCTCTTGCTCTGGATCAATTTTCACACAGCCTGTGTCAGGAGCTGACCATCTCCTTTTCCGAAGGGACAAGACTGAATCAGACTGATCATCCTCTTCAAACACCTTAGCTCCCACCAGCTCCTCCTCAACTCTCTGTGAATTTTTTGTTTGTAAACTGTGACCATTGTTTTCCTTCTTAACAAGGACTATATTAGATAATGGTGGCGGCAGATCTGTTTGAAGATGTCTTTTATCACATGATGTAGATGATGGCTGAGACAGAACTGCACTTTCTGATTTGATGCATGACGCTAAAGCTGAAGAAAGAAATGCTGGAGATGCCAAAGTGAGAGATGAAGTACAGTGAGGAATACAATGTTCTGCTGATGCTGTACCAGTCATGGTCAATGTGTTGTCAGTCAGATCACTGTGCTCATGCTGCTGCTGTCCTATCTCTGCAGCCTTGAGGTTCACGTCTTTGTGAGTAAGAGATATACAAACGTCTCCAACATTTAATTTCTGACAATCCAGTCCATAGCGAGCTAAAGTTCTGGATACTGAACACGATGACCATCCCTGTCCAAATACAAAGAACGGGTGTTCCAAAGTAGCCTCCACTGTTACCTGAGTTGGAATGTTAAAAATTTACATTTTATACTTGAGAATAGTAATGCATACATTAGGACATTTTATTATGTTAAATAAAAACAAAAGTCATGGGAAAAGAGAATGGGGAAGACAAAGAAAGAATACACAATAGCTTGACCACATGGCATGAGACGGACTAGAACATAGAAATGGTGAACTATGACTATCATCTATGCTTCTCAACATCATGACAAATTATGCAGAAGCAGATAACAAGCTAAACAAAAAGACTGACTGCTTTATATACCATAGAATACTAAACATGGCCTGTGTGATACTGACCACATCAACCACCTCGTGGTGATTTGTTTATAAAATGCAGGTCTAGTCCTATATAGACAGTTAACGAAATTGCACAGTTAGACAATGCTGCTTTCTTGCTTTAAAAAAAAAAAAAAGAACAAAAGACGGAAAGAAAAAAAAAGGAAAAAAAAAAAAGAAAGAAAGAAAGAAAGAAAGAAAGAAAGAAAGAAAGAAAGAAAGAAAGAAAGAAAGAAAGAAAGAAAAGACAGAAAGAAAGAAAGAAAAAAAGAAAGAAAAGACAGAAAGAAAGAAAGAAATCCAATGGGGTGTTTTTTTTTAGTTGACAGGAAATTCCATACTCTTAAAAACTATCGATAATTAAGATGCAGAAAAACTGTCAACTGATTAGGTGAACCCTAAGGTATTTGCGTGTACAAACTAAAAATTGTCATTAACTTAAAAAGATTTTGAATGTCAATATTATGATAGTTATGTTTCTTTAAGTACCTATGTGATTTTAAAAATATTTGTTTTAAAGGAGTAAAGAGACTTTGGGCAACTATGCATGTTTTTTTTTTTTCAAACAGTATAGACATATGGTACTCATTTATGGCTGGGTCGACCTGTGAGCCATGTTCAATTAAAGAAAAAAAATTTAAACATTTTACTGATCTCTGTAAAACTAAATTTTTTGAGAATTCCCAAGGGATCATGACCCCTTGCTGTTTATTTTAGTGTTACAGTGTAAAAGTTGAAACACAAAATATTAGATAGCATGCATTTCATATCCTCCCTTACTTGAAGATAATACCAGGATGAAAGAGATTATTCCCTGCCATTTTATTCTTCAAAACTGGTTTCATAAGACATTTTTCCTTTTCCCATTAAAACACAGATCACAGGAAATAGCCCTGCAGTGATTAAGAAGTCATGCTGGCATGTTACAACTACCCTAGGTTAAAGAATAAGCAGCTCTTCTATTACTATACAAGAGCTGTTCTAGGTTGAGTAGAAATGGCACAAAGATGTCAATCGGATGAATTCTGGTGCTATGTAAAAAGGAAAGGAAAAAACTACACAAAACTTCAGAGGGCAAAATGCTCCATGATGAAGTGAAGCCATTTGCCTCAAACACTGAAGGTCATTTACTGAACTGTGCCAGTCAGTTCACAAGTGCAATTTTCATGCAGATCTCTGCAGACCATTGCTGGAGCTGTGAAATCAAGTTCATGCTTTTGTAAAGTGTTCTTTGCAGGTGGATAGCCATTCTGTGAAGAGAGACCACACCATCTGGGATAACAACTGGCGCAATGAAGTCAGTTCTTTTGACATTAAACTGTATTTCCTTTATAGTCAGGGCAAAGACTAATGGCCAGTCTCTTGTAATGTAATAACACATGATAAACTACTTGTGCTAAATGTAATAACATAAGTACTTACTTGGACTCGATGCTCTACTACAGAGAAACTAAGCATTGCAGTGCCTCGGTCAGGATGCTCTTCAAGAAAGAAAGAAAGAAAGAAAGAAAGAAAGAAAGAAAGAAAGAAAGAAAGAAAGAAAGAAAGAAAGAAAGAAAGAAAGAAAGAAAGAAAGAAAGAAAAGACAGAAAGAAAGAAAGAAATCCAATGGGGTGTTTTTTTTAGTTGACAGGAAATTCCATACTCTTAAAAACTATAGATAATTAAGATGCAGAAAAACCGTCAACTGATTAGGTGAACCCTAAGGTATTTGCGTGTACAAACTAAAAATTGTCATTAACTTAAAAAGATTTTGAATGTCAATATTATGATAGTTATGTTTCTTTAAGTACCTATGTGATTTTAAAAATATTTGTTTTAAAGGAGTAAAGAGACTTCGGGCAACTATGCATGTTTTTTTTTTTTTCAAACAGTATAGACATATGGTACTCATTTATGGCTGGGTCGACCTGTGAGCCATGTTCAATTAAAGAAAAAAAATGTAAACATTTTACTGATCTCTGTAAAACTAAATTTTTTGAGAATTCCCAAGGGATCATGACCCCTTGCTGTTTATTTTAGTGTTACAGTGTAAAAGTTGAAACACAAAATATTAGATAGCATGCATTTCATATCCTCCCTTACTTGAAGATAATACCAGGATGAAAGAGATTATTCCCTGCCATTTTATTCTTTAAAACTGGTTTCATAAGACATTTTTCCTTTTCCCATTAAAACACAGATCACAGGAAATAGCCCTGCAGTGATTAAGAAGTCATGCTGGCATGTTACAACTACCCTAGGTTAAAGAATAAGCAGCTCTTCTATTACTATACAAGAGCTGTTCTAGGTTGAGTAGAAATGGCACAAAGATGTCAATCGGATGAATTCTGGTGCTATGTAAAAAGGAAAAAAAAAAAACTACACAAAACTTCAGAGGGCAAAATGCTCCATGATGAAGTGAAGCCATTTGCCTCAAACACTGAAGGTCATTTACTGAACTGTGCCAGTCAGTTCACAAGTGTAATTTTCATGCAGATCTCTGCAGACCATTGCTGGAGCTGTGAAATCAAGTTCATGCTTTTGTAAAGTGTTCTTTGCAGGTGGATAGCCATTCTGTGAAGAGAGACCACACCATCTGGGATAACAACTGGCGCAATGAAGTCAGTTCTTTTGACATTAAACTGTATTTCCTTTATAGTCAGGGCAAAGACTAATGGCCAGTCTCTTGTAATGTAATAACACATGATAAACTACTTGTGCTAAATGTAATAACATAAGTACTTACTTGGACTCGATGCTCTCCTACAGAGAAACTAAGCATCGCAGTGCCTCGGTCAGGATGCTCTTCAATTCTGACCACTGTACTAGAATCCACTTTCAAATCTGACGATACCTCTGCACTGTTAACAAAATCTTCAGTCTGAAGATCCTCCACTCTTTTGAGGGTTCCACTGGCCAACTGAATGATAGAGCCTTTCATAAAGTGGGTAGGGTACTGAATGTGGGAAGGGGGGCTATCTGAAGAAGGTGATGCAGGAGGGGCTGCTGATGTTGAGGAGGTGTAACAGAGTGATTGCTCATACCTGTTGTCCTCACTAGGTTGGTATGTTGAGCACTGTTGATCTTCCTGAAGAGATATTTTTTCATCCGTGTGCCTAGCACCAAAACCCCTACCTTCCACTGCATTATTGTTGTCTGGTTGAGGATAATAGGGTGTTTGTGATACGAGGGGGTAGCGGCTGTTGGATCTTTGGCTACCACGATGGTGTTCATGGAAAGCTTCAACACTATAAGCTGTAGCTGGAGATTCTTCTACATAGGTCATTTTCAGTCGCTTGCTTAAAGGCTCATCCTTCAGTCCATGAACACCACTCACTTTGATGTGGTCATCCCCATTTTCAGATTCTGAAGGTCTGGTCAGGATTCTGTGTTTCAGGCTTCCTTCTTTCCCACTCAAGGATGTTTTAAAATATATGTCACTTCTACCTGTGGGAGAGTCTCTACCTCCACCATACTCTTTGACAACTGAGTCAAAGGAAACTTTAGTAATGTGGCTACCAACAGAATAATTACCAGCAGAAATCTGACTCGTCTTGTCCTGGTGTAAATTAGAATTGTCAACGTAAACAACTTTTTCTTTTGACAATTCTCCTTCTCTACTTTGCAGGCTACTGCCTCTTTTGACAGTGGTCACTGGTTCTAGATGATGAGATAAGAGAGGCTCTAGATGAGTGCTTGCAGACGAATGGGCGTGGGTGGTTGAAACTGGCCCTGGACTGGGTGAACTACTGCCAGAAGACCGGTGGTGAGATGTTGTAGGGATGCTTGAATACTGAATACCAGGTGCTGCTAAATGTGTTGCTGATGAGTGAAAAGAGCTGGTGTGCTGGGTGATAGATGTTCCAGGTGCTGAAACTCTGGATGTCCTGTTTAAAAGCGGGAGGAAACACATTTATAAGCATGGAAGTGAACAAACATTAAACACTGACAGAACAACTACATGACATAGGAGCGCCAGAATAAAACTGAAAAACAGCAAACATTTTTACCTCCAATCTCAAAGAATATAACAAATACAAACTTACAAAAAAAAAAAAAACAACACCTGATTTGTTTTCAATATACAGTGAATATATAATGAGATCAAAGAAACGAATTATTCCTAAATGTGTAATAAAGGTCGATGGTGTTATTTTAGGACAAGTACAGAAATTTAAGTATCTGGGCACATGGATAACATCAGATGGAAGATGCATAACTGAGAAAAGAAACAGAATAGGACAGGCAAAAACTGCATTTTTTTAAATGAAGAATATCTCTTGCAATATATCCTTGTCATTGAGAGTTAGAAAAAGAATTTTTGCTTGCTACATACATCCAGTTCTAACATATGGCTGTGAATCCTGGACAATCGGTAGGCAGGTCAAACTATTTCTTGAGGCCTCAGAGATGTGGTTTTATAGAAGAATGCTTAGAATACCTTGGACAGCCAAAAAGAGCAACCAAGAGGTTTTGAAAGAGGTGGGAGCCCGAAGACAACTTATCACAGACATCAGAAGGAGACAGTCATCATTTTTCGGCCATGTTATGAGAAGAGGGAAAATAGAACATGTTGTGACCACTGGAAAGATCTGTGGAAGGAGGGATAGAGGAAAACAACGAGAGAAGATTCTTGACAGCCTTGTTGCATGGCATGGAGGTGTGTCGGCACACGAACTGATACATGCTGCAGGAGATCGTGGATTGTGGAGAGGCATGATCACCCACGCCGGTTGGCAAGGCACCTGATGATGATGATGATGATGACTTCTGTAATCTGTCATTGCCTTTCATTGGTTATCATTCATGAGATTACACACTCCTCGATAATTTATCAATCCATTGGTCTCAGTTCCTTTTTATAATAAAAGTGTAAATTTTTACGGAATTTTTATGCAACTGTCTGTGTGAAATATTGTTATAAAAGTTTAAATATATAAACAATCATCTGGAGTTAACAAAAAATTGATCCATTTAACATTAATTCGTAAGGGGGGAAATAGTTTGTTTTGTAGCAATTATTTACAAATCTTTTTAAAGTACAAATGAAGCGCCTGTTGTGCAATTATATGGGGCACAGGGTTTGCAGTCTATTCCTCCATTCCATTCTATCCTAGGCAATCATTTAGATATGATGGATGCAATCTATTCCACAAACACTGGCCTGTCTCAACCATTTATTTTAGGGTTTCTCTTGGGCATCTTTGCATCTTAAATGTATTTGTTTTCCATTTAATTAATTTTTTTCCAGTTAATCTCTGCTTGCTTCTTCTTCAATCCAACATAGCACCACCTTATTTGCACTGTAACTGTTGATACCAGTGCTTGACCAAATATTTCTCTTATTTCTTTAACTTTTAAAAAATTCGCCCATTCATCAATTTTTTTTTCAGGCATTTTTTCAATACATTTTACAAAATGACAAAAGACACATTTATATGTGAGATCTATAAAACTGATGCCAACACTGATCTGTTAAAAGCCTCAGATACTTAGAAAAATCAAAGTAGACACAATTTACCTCTCTGCTGCTTGAATCCCTCTGTGCTGAACGTGGCTACCCATGCTTGCCAGCACTGCCGAGTAGGATTCTATGTGTGGATAATGAGCCTGGGCTGTCCCAGCAATGACAGGCCCATGAGAAAAACTATGCCTTGAGGTGCCAGAGCCTCCAAAGCCAGGGATAAATGTGGAGTATGGTTGCAGGGTGCTCAGATGACCTGCGGTCTGGCTGTGAATACCATAGATAGATGGGTACTGTGAGGAGACATAATTAGTGCTCCCTGAAGCAGATAGTCTCTGAGGTGAAGTGGTATTATCTGTCCCTGTCCTGAAGATGCCTGAGGGTACTGCAGGCTGACCAGCTGATAACATGATTGACTGGCTGGTTGTGGTAGATAATGTGGGTGAAGAACTACTGTTGACAGGGATGAGCTGTTGCTGAGAAAGATTGCTGTGAGCTTGAACTGATCCAGAGCGCCCACTTTGCATGCCCCCACTCCCCCTCTCTGCAGAAGAAGTAGATTCTAATACCTGCTGCTCAGCTGAGAAAGCTAACTGTTCATTAATATGAGAAATGCTGTTCTCGCTACCAGCCAGTTCTCCTGATTTCTCCTTGCTAACAAATGTCTGTCCATTATAAGCTACAGAGTTTCCACTGCTGGCTCTGGTCCTAAAGTCTGTCTGGGAAAGATCTGAACTGTCAGACAAACTAACCTTGCTGCTAGCAGCTCCACTTCTACTGGCACTAATAACTGTATTATTATTACCCACAGCTTTAGTGAGTTGTGATGTAGCCTGTGTATCTAGGTTTATAGTGTTAGCTACTTTGCCATGGACACTGACCAACTGGTTGATACTGGTTATAGATGAAGAAGCTGTTAGCAATGGGTCTGCATAATTGAGGATTACTATTCCCCCCTCTATGCTTCCACCATCTAAGACTGTTGCAGGCAGTTTATTGTTGGCTGTCAGTGTCACTTTAGCTAAATGGATATTCTTCCCATCAGAGAAGGGACTACTCTGACTGTTAGCAAAAAAAGTTGACGGGAATGCTGATGTACTGCTGACAATATCACTTTCACTTGTGAAGTTGCTATTGTTGCAAATCAGCAAGCTACCAAGTTTATTGCTGCCATTTATACTGTTGTTGTTGTTAACACTTATGTTAGCTGCTCCTGTTAAGTTATTTATATTGCTGTTTTCTTTAGATATAGTTGCTAAATGTTGTTGCAACTGCTGCTGTTGTAACTGAAAGTGCTGCTGCTGCTGTTGTTGTACTAAAGTATTTAACAATATACTAGTGGCACCAGTAGTGTTTACATTGCTGTTACTACTGCTTGCCTGGTGCAGTTGAGGGTCAGTGATAATGATGGTGTACTGTACTGGCTGACTGTTAACTCCTCCACTAACAGCCAGCAAATTACACCTATTGTTCCCGCCTCCCTCAACTGCAACTGGTTGACTGGGAGGGGATGAGCTTGGAAGGATTTCAGCGCAATACAAGGACTGGCCATCCAAACCTGCCAATGGAAAAAAGTAGTGACAAAAAATTAATATAGGAATGACATTATTATGACATATGTTTTCAAAAAGCAGGTAACCTCTACCAACTGAAGGATCACCTGATCCCCTGATTTAGCCAGACAAATAACAAGCAATCACAATTTCTGTTGAGATAACAATGATCACAGAATAATTAATCACAGCATTTCTCAGCTATGGAAGCATGCAGTACAACCCATGCACCATTACTGATGATGAGCTAGTCATCAGTTAAAGCTGAAACATCTGTGACCACCCCATGATCAAGATAGCTTTTCTAGATCATGTTCAATATTACAATTCACATAAATCTTTCATTTCATTTCTAACTAATTCAAATGAGAGACCACTAAATGAAATATTGACATGTAGGATACTGCTGGCCTGTGTCTACAGTACTTTGGTACAGTGTCCTTGAAGTGTCGTCCTCACAGACTTGTCTGCATGATGTTATCTTTTACACAGTTTCTTCAGAGGACAAAGTTGATATATTTTAGCCGTTGTAGTGCCAGATCATGTAGTCACGCCTTCACTGGGTGATGATGTATATAGAAGTGACTGCAGTAGAGTTGATAACACTAAATACATAATAAAATGTGACTAGAGGAAATGAAAAAGATGTGCAAAACCAACCAAACATCTCCACCAGTCTTTATCAATGACTTAAACATATCCTGGAAAACTCAACAGACAAGACAACAGAGCCTCTAAAGTGGAGGGAGACTGCCGTGAAGATTCATAGAATGTTCATAGAAACTGCTAACATCCTATTGGTATCACAATTTGTTATGCAGCCTTTCTGCATTTTTTTAACTGATTGTGGCATATATAAGGTTTCCATGATTCACAAAACCCGGAAAAAGGTTTCCTCTTCCAGGTAAGGCATCGCTAGTTACCATGATTACGCCAAAGCCAGAAAATCAAGTACTGAATCAGATTTCATCGCTTAACTCTTTGAGTCCCAGGGGGCTTAGCATCACAGGCCCAATGGGTAGTAAAGAGAGACTAAAATCGACACACCATCCGTTCATTGGGCTTCTAGGTAAGAACCTATGAACATATGATGCGTTTCCTGGGACTTAAAGAGTTAAAACAAACAATTTACCAGTTCAAACATATGGTGGCAGCGTGTTCCACTGTAGGATGCTGCAGGGAAGTTGATTTGTTTGTTATATACTGTGTAATTATTAACTGTTTGATGTTTTTGTGATGCACACAATTAACTGTTCTCAGCACCCTTAACAACATGGATGAACTATGTGGGAATATGGCCACCCATGATTTTTTGCACCGGAATACACAAGGATCAGATCCAGGGCTGTAGATGTCTAATCTCTCGCACAGTGGAGTGCACCAGCTGTTCTCCCTTAAGAGCTTGGTCTAGCCATATGAGTACTTATATCTATAGGATGAAAGGGGCAATTTAGATTATAAGTCCTTTGATCAAGAAAACTATTCTACAGTCAAGCTGTACATGACTGAAGAGACACCACAAAACAGCGGATCTAGAGGATACAACCTCAATAAATAAATTTTTTTTAAAAACCTTAGCTTATAGTGGGCCTATGTGCCAGTTGGCTAAATGGCTGTGGAATATACGGTCGTAAAGGTAAACAATTAGTTAGCAGGTGGGGCTGGGCCAGGCATATGTACTCCCTCAAGACATTCCATGCCTCTTCCCTAGCAGGCAGGTAATACAGTAATACTAGGGTACCGTTTACTTCATGCACTGAAAGAATATTTTCTATAGATTTTGTATTTAATAATAGAATCATCACTGGAGCTACGGAGTGAGTGCTCTGTGCTTGTTGATAGTATCTTCAGGTGGCAATTGAGAGTTGGAAAAGGAGAACAAGAGGAAATGGAGAGAGAAGAATGCATTGAAATAGGAGAGTCAGGCGGAAAATGCAGTGTCTGGGATTAAAGTATCTTAGAGTGGGTTAATGGAAATGTCGTAGTGCCAAGCAGAGAGGACCTGTTCTGGAGAGGCTGATTCATGCCTTTGAAATCATCATGCTTCAGGAATTAAACATAGATACATATGAGCGTCCTGGATACATTAGAATATAAATCCTACCTGACAGGAAAGACATGGGTAATTTCTGCTGGTGAAGAATGGGGTGAAGCATGCGGTTCTTGACCTGGGCAAGTGAAATCATAGTATACTAGAGATCCAGGACATACAGATAGATAATGGGGGCATAACCTGGAATTTAGTAAATGTTTACGCTACTGTTGACTCTTTTGTCACAAAGGAACATTGGGACTGGTTTAAAGAGTTGGAGGAAATACCTGGTAACAGGCTCTTCATTTGTGGGGATTTCAATGCACTCAACAGAGCATGGAACAGTACCAGGGAAAACAGACAAGGAAATGCTTTAGCAAAGGCTATGGTAGATGCCCATGTAGTCTGTATAAACGGTTAGTAGGCCAAACAGAATGGCCACAAGACTGGTGATGCAGACACGGCTATCAATTTGGTGTTTGTTACCAAGTCAGCAGTGCTGGACACAAAATAGAGTGTCCTAGGTGATTATGGGAGTGACCATATGCACAGTGTTGATTTCTAAAACTAGAACGATCAGGGCTGTGAGAAAGTGCAAGACTTTCAAGTACAAAAGAGCCAGTATCCGTCTTGGATGCCTTCGACAGAAGGTATGCAGCAGAACCACCACTTCTGCTTTTGTGCAGCCCCCATGGTAGACCCAAGAAGTAAAATAGCACGGAGAACAAAGGGAGCAGCAGTTAAGCTAGAAAGAATTAAAGTGGAAGGGTGTGCAGCAGATGCGAAAAAGGCTAAATACAACAATTTTTTTATTCAAAATTGGAGAAAATAAATCACTGGATAGGTTTTGGAAACATCTAAGATAGAGGCAAAAGAAGGATTGGCCTATCACAATAGGCATTTTACATACTGATAATGGTGTGCCAGTGACAACAGACAAAGAGAAAGCGAAAGCATTTTTAGAAGAGATTTATAGCCCAAACTGATCATAATGATAGGGAATTTGGAGATTCAGTTAAAGATAATAGGGAACTTGGATATTCAGTTAGAGATAATAGGGAACTTGGAAATTCAGTATGAGATAATAGAGAACTTGGAAATTCAGTTAGAGATAATAGGGAATTAGGAGATTCAGTTAGAGATAACAGGGACTTAGAGATTCAGTTAGAGATAATAGGGAACTTGGAGATTCAGTTAGAGATAATAGGGAACTTGGAGATTCAGTTAGAGATAATTTGTCTCATGCTATAAATAATAACTATTTTCATTATATCATTAGGGTGGAGGATAAAAAGTAAATATCACAAAAAAAGGAAGACACTACGCCAGGGCAAGACGGCGTGAGGTATGCCCAAATGAAGAGCATGAGTGATGAAGAGCATGAGGGAGATGGCTTTTCACTTCAACCAAAGCATAAGAACAGCTTCAGTACCCCAGGATGAAAATAATGCAGGCGAATGTCATATAAAGACTCTGTAATGGAAAACAGGTGGATGGAAGATAATGGTGAGCTACTTACTATCAAACATTTTCCATCTGATGTTATCAGGGTACCCAAGTCCTTAAATTTACCAATTTGATTTAGGTTTGTCCAGCTGTGCAACCCCCCCCCCCCCCACTCCATTAGGCGACTCTGCAGTGCATCAGTGGCTGGTTATCATATTCTCTCTTGGTTTTCGCTTGCGCATGCTCAAGCCGAGGGTGCTTCGCGCTTTGTTGTTGTTCTATGGAACTCATTTTTGTGAATGAGTTGAACACCAGCAGACGTCAGTGAACAGGCGCAAAATAATACTAGTTTCAATTACGGCGGTGCCGTTTATAGAACAGCCCATTGATCCTGCGGCAATTTTTGGACCGCGTTAGAAATTCGCGATGGCCTTGAGCGGAAAGTAAAGTGTTTGAAGGATAAGAAAAGGCGAGAAATGGCTGACGAATGCGACTACGATCAGCATACATCGTCATCGAGTGCCATTCTCGCATTCAGTTTCCAACAACCCTGTTCTGTTTTCAAGCTACATTCATCATATAAACCTTTTCTTCTGTCCCGACCGTTAAGGTTGTCCACCTGTCTTAACTCTCTCTCTCTCTCTCTCTCTCTCTCTCTCTCTCTCTCTCTCTCTCTCTCTCTCTCTCTCTCTCTCTCTCTCTCTCTCTCTCTCACGTTTTCCGCATGGCCGATGCACCTTAACTGTCCGATCTTAATATAATTCAAGACATTTTTCTTTAAATCTAACTGTTTAACTATTTCTTATGTGGTCCTTGCAAGGTTTGAGAGAATGTTTGAAGTAACTGTGGAGCCAGTCAACAGGAACTGATGCATTCCTCATGCTATTATTGTATAAGTTGCAAAATTTCGCCAATTCGTCGTCTTCGATGTCCATTATGTCACTATATCCCACTCAACCACGCCCCGGTGCAGTATCTACCGAACAGTCCCCGTAATTAGACTGATACTCAAGTCAGGTTTACAAGAATCTCTCCTGTGCAGTTTTTCTCATTTTCTATCTTTATGGTCTGATAGACGTATGCAGCGACAAGACCCCCCCCCCCCCACCTCCCGTGACATGTATATGTGTGATATGCATGAATGTATGTATATATGTATGTATGTATGTATGTATGTTTGTATGTTTGTATGTATGTATGTTTGTATGTATGTATGTATGTATGTATGTATGTATGTATGTATGTATGTATGTATGTATGTATGTATGTATGTATGTATGTATGTATGTATGTATGTATGTATGTATGTATGTATGTATGTATGTATGTATGTATGTGAGGCGTGTTTTTATACGTATGATTCTGAGTATGTATGTGTATGGGTAACTGTAAAGGTTTTGTGTGTGTCTGAGTGTACGTCTGTGTGTGTTTGTGTGTGCGTGCGTTGTGTGTGTGCGTTGTGTGTGTCTGTGCGTCTCTATGTTTGTGTCGGCATATATGTGTCTGTATATATGTGTGTGTTTATCT